GGAATGCAGATTTTATATCTAAGCCTTAGAACTATAAGTCCATCAGGACCTTTGGAACAAATTCATTTTAAGGAACTCTTTCATGGTGAAAATTGCAAAAGAATGCAAGGATTCATGTATTCTAGTTCCTTCTCTGCCACCACAACACAAATTCATTAATGTTCTATCAAATTATCAGTCACTTGTGTAAAAAAGTACTGCACGGTGTTTTTTCTTAATATTTAGCTACATCAAGATTTTAATAGCAGCTTACTTGCGCAGTAATATCCCAGCCATCTTCCAAACAAACCATAACAGAAGAACCATTTTCCAGAAGCTCAGAGATGATCACACCCAATTGCATTATCCTGTGAAGCTATAAAGTATTACAAATAAGTAACATAATAAAGTATAAGATAAAATTCTAGATAGTATTAATCAACTGTATCTTTCCATATTTATCATTAGAATATATATTCTGAAATTTACTTACAGCACAGAGAAATGCATTGATGTAACAGATTAGAAAGCTATAAAATGTAACAGTCTCAGGATTTTCATCTGAATGATGACAAAACTAAGCAAAGATTTTAAGATAGGAACTTAAACCATTAAAACCAATGAGTACAGTAATAAAATAGCTGTCATAAAAAGGAGAATGGGAACAACATGGTTGACAGATTTATTGTAGAGAAATTCCTTCCTGGGCTTAATGCTAAAATAATTTCCTGTGAAATGTTAAAGTTCCATAAAGTCACCAAGTACTGTGATGGGACAACCCACGTAAGATATTTACAAGACAGTATTTCTAACGCTCAATCCCATGGAAGTTGGGAATTAATGAATTTAATAATAATTATTATAATTATGATGATGAAAAAACCGAAACACAAACCTAAAAACAAACACAAAAAAATCCTATTTCTATAATTTTGAAATTGTTTAGATATATTAAACAGTGTTTCTTATACTTAGGCAGAGTGGCTAAAACATGTGGAAAGAGGACACATTAATTATTTGCATTCCAATATTCATTATGCAGTGATATTAAAATTCCCTGCACATGTGGGTTAGTTAATTTCTCTGGGAAGGGTTACTGACTTGACTGAGATTGATTCAAACATGATAGGTGTAAGCAGGTTAAAAAACTTAGGTGAATTTGAGCAATTTTATCTTACTATGAGACTTCACATTACTATCAACTAAAAGGAAAACCTGTATCATGTTTCTACCATTTTGTCGTACTATGGCAGCATTCTTGGTAAACAACATAATAGACGATATGTAAACAATTCAGTTTTTTTACAGTAGAATTAAACTGCTCTTTACAGAGCACTAAATACAATCCTGCCAAATAGCAGCAATAGGAATGATGAAAGCCTGAAAGAAGAGAGAAAGCAGTATAGGAAAAGAAATAAACAAAAGATGGCAAGAGACATCTAAAATCATTTATGCAAGGAAAAAAGTAAGTTCAGAAAGTACAGAAGGCATAGTAAAGTGATTCACATGCTTATAAAGAAATATTTAGCCTATACAGTGTTAAAATCAATACTGTGTAATTTCTGTTGCCCAGGAAAGGAAAGCTTAGTACAATAAAAACACATTTCCAAGATGACAGATCTATGTTCTTTCACAGGAATAGTGGAAAATGTGTCAAATCAGTCATAAATTATGTTTATCACATAAGTTATGTACGACATGATTTAAACCATGGAAATGGGATTTAAATGTCTCACAGCTAGCGTGTGACACTATGATCTAGTCCTGAGCAACGAGTGACATGCTATTACTTTTCCTCTCAAATATGGCAAAAGAGAGTAACGCCAATGTTATAAACTCCCCTTGATCTCTGTGTTGCTACAGGGACGTGTTGATTTCATCACAGTGACATTCAATTAATTTATCTAAACTTATCAAATTGCTCAACTACTCTGTGATTGCAAATGAGCACATGATGAGGGAGGCAAGTCTTCATGCTCTTCCCACTTCTCCCCTTCCTGAAGGTAGTGGTGGCCAGACACAGCACTGACCAGCTCCTATGTTCTCTAAGGAGTGATCACACCTCAAGGGAAGAAGCTAAGCCACTCCTTGCACTGTAGCACATTTCAACCAGGAGTACATTTTCTGATGCATAATTACTGAAATGACTGTGTTACTCATGTATTTCCTCCTTAAGAAAACAGCATAAGAATCTATTCTGTTTTCTATGAATAATTGCATTTGAGGAGAATATATTCAGCACAGTATTCCAAAAATAACACGCAACTAGTAAAAAACATTCACTATAATTAAAATGGGTTTAGATTTACAAAGAGCTGACTTTCCCACATCCTTCTTAATTTCAATTTTGCAAAGTTACTTCCAGTCTTGCCTTCGTTTGGTTAATCTTTACGTAAGGGAATATGGGGTAGGGAAGTAAAGGAACAGAATCAAAGAGAACAGATTAATACACACAAAATCCCCTCTCCCCTGCACACACTTCCCCGTATCCAACCACAGATAACACATATTAGCTTATTTGTTAAATACTTGTACATATGGAAATTCAGCATGGGAACACATATGAAGAGTAGAATATTGGTTTTAAAATCAAAAGGCTTATTTATTGTTCTATACTTTTTTCTGATTTTTAAAATATATAAAAATAAGAAAAAGCAGTTAAAACCAAGACCATAAATTTATAAAGGCAGAAAAAACGGTCATTTCTACTTGTCTACAAGTTCCATGTTATAAACCATAAATGATGTTATAAAAAATGCCTCCCACATTTGTAAATGTTATGATTGTATTAAAATAATAATAATGCTTATGTAATGACAGAACTGGTAGTATGCAAAATAATTACAATGAACAAAGACGAACAGCTGGGTAGAGCACAATAGTTCTCTGTCAGAAGAGCCTGAAATTTATTTTGTGTAAGCAGTACTGCATATAGATTATTAGAAGTACCTGTCATATATAAATTACCTGTGGGAACCACTCTGACTCCCCAAGTGCTTTAAGGAATGTTGCCTCAGAATCTGTAGGAATAGTGCTGGGAACACAAGCTCTCATCAGCTTTTTAAAGCTTGCCTTTGTCTGTCGGATGTCACTGAATTCAACAGGAACAAATTCACAATTCAAAGCAAAATCAAGTTTGAATCCCTGTATGAAAAGGACAACAGCAGATGTAATTTTAAAGGGAACCATATTTTTTACTGACAGTCTCATAAAATCTCAGAGTCTTGCCTGCTTCATTGCTAAATATTTCAATTCCTAATTAAAAATCTGTTTAGATAAACACCTGCCCAGGATAATAAAAATCCATGTAACACTTGCAAAATGTACCATAGTAAAGTACCCATCTACTACTCATAAGAGCAGAATGTACTGCACGGCAGTCATATTTTTAATAATAATTATAGTAATAAGAGTAGCAAAAATCCAAAGTTGAGTGATAAATCTGTTGAGTTCTTTATACACAATGTAATGTGCTTTCATTTGGATTTTTAAAGCTAATTAACAACAAATAAATAAAAATTAAAATAACTGTATGGATGACATACCAAAAGTGCAGGACAGATTCTAGAAGTTCAATAAAGCAGAAAAAAGGTAACCTCCAAATCCAAAAAGAACCCCCAAAACTGCAAACTAGCCAACTCATCTAAGCAGCCACTGCACATTGAGGTAGTTGTTTGTCAGTACCTAGTTCAACACAGAATAGCAGTTGGGGAATACCCAATAAAATTTCCAAGAGGTATGTGAGGTTTTCCTAGCAAAATTCTTCAAGTTTTGTCTTTCTTACTGCATTTAGAAAATGAGCAATAAAAGAGGAGGACTAAATTAAGAGAGATCAAGTTAGCTAACTGGAAAAAAAACCCCAAACTATAATGAAAAGGATAATATAGAGAAAATTATTAGGAAAAACAATTCTAATGGATGAAGCATCACTGAAGATCTTCACAGCAAACTTTCAGTTTTCTTCAGAAATTGCTCTTTCATGGAATTAAACTTGGCCCTCAAATAATCTTAAGCTGCTTCATGGGATGCCAAATGAAAACGTAGAAAAGTGAAAGCTCAGATTTCATTCCATTTCTATTTTGGCATCATTCAAAAAGAAATTCAGTAGCTCAACTAGCAAACTTGCTTTTTTAGAATCTTAAGTTGTAATAATGTATGATAAAAGTAATTGAGAAAAGCAGCACGATTTCCCTAAAATGTTACAAATTTTAGTTTGTATCACCGAATTATGTGACATGACATTTAGCAGAATAAAGCAGGTCCTTACAGGAATCCACATCAGTAATGCATGCTCTGCCAAGCCCTTTACAAAGCCAGCAAATTCCAAGTTAGCAGGATGCTAACAAAAGCTAGGAAAATACTTGACAATCAAAAATCAGCAAGATTCCTTTATACAAAAACAAAAGTTGAATTGATTTTATAGACTAGATACAAATCAATGAGGGAAGGTTCAAAACAATCACTTAATGCCTATGTAATTTTATTCTTACATTTGCTAACACAATACACTTTTCCTTAGAAAAGCCCAGAGATTACCCATCTTCTGCAAAATTGTATTATTAAACAAAACAAAATAAAAAGTGAAAAATCTGTAAGCTCTAAACCAGCAAGGAAATCATCCAGCTTAATGTAAGGATACTTGAAGGACTGATTTTTAAACAATTTCCAAACTACATACACCCTACTGGACTTCAGACTATTTCGTATTGGTTTTGTCCAATGTTTGTTGTTTGTACATCGAAAAGTCAGCTCTTTTTATATTCTGCATAAAAATACACACCTGTATGGTAATATATTAAAAATGCTTTAATCTACACCAAGCTATACCAATCCTCACCTAGTCTGTGACTGCTGATACATTAAACAACTTCCATTTTTTGCCCAAGTGGTCTAAAGAGTCACTTCAAAGCAGCAGACTAAAGACGTTTCTATTACTTATCTTTAGATGCATGGCTGAACTCTTCACTTATCATTCATTAAGATCTCAAACAAATAGAAATGTGAGTAATTGTTACTATTGGATTATGGCAATTTAATTCTATGTAATCATTTCTCTTGCATTACTCTTCCTGTATTCCTTTTCATTGAAGTGTCTCCTTTGCCAGAGCCTTTGGGGGGTTACAGTTATAAAAGATGATGATTAACAAGATGAAAACTGATATAGAATCATAGAATCATAGAATCGCTTTGGTTGGAAAAGACCTTTAAGATCATCGAGTCCAACCATTAACCTAACCCTGCCATCCCACCACTAAACCATATCCCTAAGCACCTCATCTATCCTTCTTTTAAATACCTCCAAGGATGGGGACTCTACCACCTCCCTGGGCAGCCCATTCCAGAGCCTGACAACCCTTTCAGTGAAGAAGTTTTTTCTAATATCTAACCTAAACCTGCCCTGGCGCAGCTTCAAACCATTCCCCCTCGTCCTATCATCTGTTACCAGGGAGAAGAGGCCGACCCCCACCTCCCTACAGCCTCCTTTCAGGTAGCTGTAGAGGGCGATCAGGTCTCCCCTCAGCCTCCTGAGGGGTTGATCTGAATCAACCTGTTTGAAAACTTTGGGAAGAATGTTCTCCAGAAAAGAAAATGAAATTGCCAACTCAATAAAATTGAAAAATTTTGCAGGAAAAGAAACAGTTTTCTTACTGTTCAAAAGAACAGTTTGTTCTAATAATGACAAATGATGTTTACTTTCAAAATTTCTGATTAGTCTTTCATGTTATATTCTGATGCCTTGCTACATTAAATCAGAATGTTTATAGACTTAACAGGATATTTCTGTGAATTATTGTTATGCTAATTATATTATAAAGAAATAAAATGTCAAATGATATCTAACTAATTAAAAATGACTACTTTGTGTTCCACTGTGTAATGAGGAAACCAAAAAGAAAATGAATTTGCAAACCAATTATAAAAGACAAAGTAAAAATGGAATAAGAATACCTGTTATATAATCATCATTTAAAATACAACCAAAAATACAAATGAGATATAAAGGAACTTTTGAAATTACAAAAAAAGTCAAAATAAAGACAAAATTTGCTAAGAATTTTGATTCATCATTCTGATAGAGCATGATTCTTCCACCTCCTGGTATAACAATTTCAGAAAGAATTGACTACTGATGTTTTTTCCTCCTACCAATACCTGCTTTTGGAAGTTATATATATTTCAAAAAATACATAATATTTTATGGGTGATCAGATTTTGAATAAGAAAGTAGAAAATGATTGATTTTTCAATCTTTGAATGTAGGGATTTTAAAAAAAATCTGCAAACATTTTCTGAAAAAAAGTAATAAAATCTATCCAAAAAGATTTAAGAAATTGTAGACATCATGCTCCTCTTCATGTAATCAAATCAGGATGGACAGACTTCTGGGTTGCCCTTATTCACATCAATTTGGCTTCATGTGAGTTTAAGTGCTACTCACAGTAACAAAGGTTTTCTTCTCTGATAATTGCTTTCCTGACTAACAACATTCCATTTGCTTCATAACATATTGCAACCCATCAGGAAAGAGAAAATTGTACTTTAAACTACCAAATAAGTCTGTTTCCTGTTTCCCAAAACAGAAATCAGTGAGATGATGACTCAGCTGAATGTTAGTCAGTAGAATCAGAGTACAGTGGTATGTATTTAGGTGTAACTAAGTGTGGCTCTGAAAGCAAGAACTTAGATACAGAACTCCAGCACTTCCCTTGAAATAGCTCTGAACAGTCTCTGAAAGGGGCAGCAAGCTCCCCTGCTGCTACACCAGCCCCACTCCATTTGCCTACAGCCCCCATCATTCATCTTTATCCCAGCAGCTATGCTGGGCAGAGCCAAACTCTGCTGTCCTTGCTACCTGCAAAGCCAGTGCAAGGAGACAGGTGAAAACACGGTGACTTCTAAATAAGAAGGCTTTGCTGGATGCTCTGTTGCCTAGCAATATATTTCTTTCGTAGCCATGTCTTTCCCAATTTGAATGCTGTTACCTTGTACAAAAGCTATTCCATTCCTCTAGTCATTTGTTACCCATCCTTGTATCTCTTAGCTCTACTACACATCAGCACTTGACCAAAAGTGACAAATAGGGCTCTACTCACAGAACTTTTGTGAGTTTGAGCCTGATCTTTAACTGCTCTTTAAGATAATTTAGTGTATTTTAATTTATGTTAACTTTGTTGTGTTATATAACCACATAGCTTGATTTTCACCCCCTCAGCCCCCACTGAGTTATACAGCATTAATTGTTGCTCCATGTATAGGAATAACAACTCATAGGAGTTTATACCTTTATGAGAGTTATCCATCCACCTTGTCTAGAATACGATTTATTATTTTGTGAAAACGTTAGGGTTATTAAACTCAAGCCAAATAAAAACTATGTTAACATAAAAAAAAAATAAATGCCATTACCCGTAACTGAGATTTTTCTCCAAATATATAGAGGGCTGCTTGCCGTCTCAAAAGCTGACTTTGCAGAAAAGCACTGCTACTGTAGGAAGTGGTGTTATCTTTCCCTGCAAGTCTTGCACCAACATCAATGAAAGGAGTCTGAGTGTTGATAAATCGGTTGCTTGAACGAAGGCTCGCCCATACACCTTTATAAAGATGAAAAATATTTAAAATCCTCTTTGCATGAGGCACTGGAGATCAGAACTATTAAGGCATATGCTAAAACGTAATTTGGAAAGTAGAATGCTTAACCATGTCATTTGCATCCCTCATAGAACATAATTAACAGCACATACTGGAAAGAAATATTTTCATAACAAAAACTGTTAAAAGCATCCTACTGCATTGTCATCTAACCTAAGACAGTAATCAAATTCTGCACAGCTCTTTCTATTGTAGAGAAAATGGTTGCTGTATCAGTAATACAATGATAAAATGAATCACAACTTGCAAGTAATTAATGTCCATTTAAGTGCATGGAAATGAAATTGCTAGTGTTCTTTTCAGAAGTAGGGACAAAAATTTGATGTATTTCCTTGTCAAAGGCACATTATTTTGGACGTCTAACTAGTAGGAGTATTATATCATTACTTTCTCCAAAAAATGAAATTGTATCACTTAAAATTCCCCGTTACCTAGAATTCTTGTGTTCCTTTTGCCTGGCACAATGTAATCATATCAACCATGTCGTATTATAATGACAATGTATAAGGATGATCAAGTCAAATATTACATTTCAGGATAAAGTATTCCATATTTACTCTTGAAATGCCATGATTAAAATGCGGAATGCCATGAATTTTAGTTTTCAATTGTCCATGTCTAATGGACAATTAGAAATGACAATGAATTTAAGGAAGTTCTTTTTTTAATCATGTGTTTCATGACTATATTCCAGCAGATGTGACTATGGTACAGTTGTGTGAGTAGAGAGAAGGATGCCTAGAAGATCGTAGTCTTACAGTTTTAATCTGGCAGTAAGATCACCATTACTCTGGCAGCAGGGCATGGTACAGAAATCCCAAAGCTAGCAACAACATGAGCTTGAAACAGTGCAGTGTGACGTGGAACCACGGACTTGCATCTGAAAGCAGCACAGCAATATTTGAATGGCATTGTACCAACCTCTGCCTCTCAACAGCATTTTTAGTTTGCGTATTGTGCCTTGCTGATTCAGCTGTATTGTCATTTCCAGAGGAGGAAATCCCTACAGCACACTGACATGCTCTGATCTGATCATGCTTAAGTCAGGTTTGTGATTTCACCATAAGATAAGTGATAAGCCAGATTGCCAAGGCCTGTTTAGCACCAGCAGAAGAAAAGACAAGTGGTAAATATTTTTCTGTTTCTTGTGCCTCAGTTAACAACAATGATTTTGTAAGACTGTTTTTGTGTGTCCAATGGGAGGTGTGTGAAAGGTACTTGATTTTCAGAATATAAATAACACTGCATGAAAATCAAATCCCTTAAAGTATACTAGATTTGGCATTCAAATGGCAGTGTGAAATTCTTTAACCCAATATGCAGTAAATCAGATTATCAGAGGAGACTCTTGAACATAAATCTGTGAAGCAAGATAACCAAAAGAGGCACCAGAAATACCTCGCAGTAGTAGAAATGTAGATATACAGTACCAAAAAAACCTCTCCAACCCCTTCAAGCAAAATCCAATAATATGCATAGTTAATATTTCTTGCATTACAGAAAAGAACTGCAGATAACAGTAAAAATCCACGGAGATAGCTCAATCAGTAAAATAATTTTATTCTATTTTTGAGAAGCAGGATTATGTTTCTATTAAAGAATAATTCTGTACAGTAATCCTCAACGGGGACTTGTCTGTACAGTTTAGCGCGTCTGCCTGACTGGCTGCTAGTCTTACATGTGAGCAAACAAACAGGAGCAACTGAGAGTGGTTGGCTAGAAACTAAGGAACTTATGGTAACAGTTCTAAACAGTTTCCACTTCAAAGACAGCCGGTTTTATAAAATACCTCGTGTAGTAAAGTAGTTATGTTTAGTATAAACTTCTGTTCCACATCTGAACTATTAGAGATGAAATAATAAAGACTTCAGCAAGCAGAAATCACAGCAAGTGTTTAGCAAGATAAAGAATTTCTTGTTCATTTGGTATGAAAAAATGCTAGCTCCAACACAGGCAACTGTCCTCAAAGACGATATATACGAAAATACACAGTCACACTTCCTAACATTTTACAAACACAGGCCATCATTAGCGCCTGTAGAACATCAAAAGTAACACAACTGGTTACAAATAGGTGCATATGAACATGTTTACCAGTGATGGATAACAGTGATTAAAAGACACAATTATATCTCTGTTATATTTCCGTTCTAATTTTGCCTAATATGTTTTGCCTTATTTTTTGTTAGCAGTAGCTAGCTTTCATTATTTGGCATATATGGTATTATTATGACTTTCTAATTTGGCAGAAATAAATCTTTCCCTGATCACTAACGTTAGCAATAATTTTGGAAAGAAAGTTCATTGACTAGGTAACAATATTTGTTAGCTATTTTACTAAAGCAGTAGAAGTACTAAATGCTCTTTTGCAGAACTAATTTTCTGCTGTTCAAAATTTTCACACAGAAAATTTTCTACATATCTCTCTGCATTAGATCATAACATTGTTAAAGAATAACATGGTGAAGTGTGTGGCTAATCACTGTAACTGCATCATACATTCAATGGCCAAAAAAACCCAAACCAAAACAAAACTGCAACACTGAACTAAAACCCCAAAATTTTGTTAATGCAGAACCAAGGCTTTCTGTCAGTATCGCTTTAGCATGTATTAAGATATCGCAGTAGTTATGGAGATGGTAGAAAAGAATGTGTTTTCAGGACACAGAATACAGTACCTTGATGGACTCTTCCCTTAGTTGCTGATTTGGAATTTGAATGAGTGAAACATTTATCGCTGTACCCAAGCACTGGTAGATAACAGTTAAGACAGAAGGAGGAGGAATGGAATGCACATTGCAGCGAGACACATTGCCGGAGAAAAGAAAAGGGTTACTTATTAATTTCCAAAGATCTAGTATATATTGAATTTCTTTATAGTACATGATTTATCAGACAGCACAAATCTTAGTCATCACAAGACAAAACATCAATCAAGCCAGAAAACCAATATAAAATGGGAAGGAAGTATCCATTTATCAAAAAGGAGTAATTTTCATTGTCATTGCAATAGTTTCAAACATGTAGCACAGCCATCGTGTGTTTCTCCATAATTATAATACCAAAGGAAATGTAACGATTAAATCATTCTGCTGAATACTTTATTGAAAGCTTCTATCCAGCTGAAAGTTAGCTTAATTAAAAATCCCAAACCTCAGTTCTTTTTTAAAAAACTGTTTTAGTCTATTTTACATACACAATTTGATGGACCTCAAAATCAAATCAGAGTGCAAGATGTCAGTTCTATACACCTACAAACATTTTTAAAGGACTGTGTAAAAGTATATAATTTAGAAAACATATAATATCTGTCACACAAAGATATTTCCTCCCAGCTTGCAAAAATTCTCTTTTTCAGTGGGAGCCTTATGTGCTTACCAGAGGGTGTACTTTTGGTTCAAAAGCCACATCAACACAAGCAACTTCTTTTAATACAAATAATCTATTAAAACATACTCAAAGTATTAATGTCTCCTGCTTTTAAAATAAATGCCTGAGCTGAGTCTGTGTTTATTTATTATAAATATCCTAGTATTTTTCCAACAGCAGCAAATCACACTGAGAAAACATTTTATTCTAAGTTACACACCAATGCCAGGTAAGAAGTGCTGTTCTGTAGAACCACACTATACTTATAAAGTAATATAAGAAGAAAAGGTATGTATTTTGAGTGAACTTACAGTTCTTATGAAAGATATCAACCAAGCAATTGCTACCAAAAGGTCCAAGAATGAAAATATATTATGAAATGCAAGTATTTGGCCAAATGTTTCAGATCAGAAACAACTTAACTGGGCTTTAGGCAACTAATTTGTTACAGTGTTCCAGATAAAAGTAAAAACCGTACCTGACACAGACACAAATATTCAGGACAACTGATGAGTATTCAGACCAATGACAATTTTTAAAAATGAGAAATACTATTCAAGCACTGGCACATATCTTTTAAATTAAATTTTAAATGGATGTGTATTAAAAATACATCGTCTGGCACAAAAACCAGAAAATGTCATTTTCAATTGGTGTATCATAGCTGAACCTGGCTTTTGAGCCTTGGTATGTGTGAGAATAAAAACAAGGAAAGAAAGAGAGATCCAGATTCAAAACCACAAAAATACCACTATTGTATTTTGTACAGGGTAGTGCATAATCCATAACTGCTTGCTATGATAAAGTAACTAGCTAATCCCATTGCTTTTTTTCTTTCTTTTTTTTTGCTTTTTGAGTTATTCTTAGGAATATGAAGGAGAGAGAAATCACCATTTTTAGACTGCCTGCATAAAATAAGTCTGTCTTTTTTGTTCAACTGTGCAGGTTTTTGGTCAGGTTTTTTTGGTCCTGCATACAGTCTCATGACACTACTTCACATGTGAAACATAATTAGCTGTGAAAAAGTAGTAAAAACCTTTGCAATAATAAATCACATGAATCAATTTATTTGAGAACAACAATTTTAGAGATTCTATATACTTTGTGTATTTTAGAGTTCCTTCTAAAAGAATTCTGTTAGCTAATCTGAAACCCCCAGTGTTTACTTCTCTACGGAGAGATATTCCCTTTCCCTGTTCCCTCTTACCCTGTCAACTTCTCACCTTCACTAGTGCTCCCACTGTACTTGTCAAACATTCTTATGTTTCAGCAAAGTCCTCATGTATCCAGCTGAACTGTGAATAGACTGCAGATACTGCGCTGTAATTACACCTTTCAGATATACAGAGCAGGTGTGGCATCAATCCAGCAAGACACAAGATAACTTCTCTGCCCTCTTCCTGATTACTGCTGAAATTTAGCCAAGACACTTCAACGTCCAACAAAACAACATGTCTGTGACCTAATACTGCCTTGAGACTCCTTTTTTCTTCACTGAGTAGCAACAAACTCATCCTATCGCACTTGCCACAAACTCCAACCCCAGAAACCAGCAATAGTTATTTCAGTAATCCTTTTATCTTCAAAAGACAACTTCAATACAGTCAACCAGCAAGCTTTCCCTTACTTATCTGGAGCACCTTCACTGCCCCGCAGCACCACTTCACTGTTAGCACTTTTGTCCCAACACAAGAGGGTGGAACACAACCAAACGTCTGCTGCCAGCTACCCAGCATTTTCACTATTTCAGTTCAAAGTCAAGCTGGGCACAGCCGCCAATTTATCTAACAATTCCAGACACTATCAACTCCTGTTCTTTTAGGTCCCTGGCCATTTTACCTTTCCAATTAAAATCACTATGTTTTTTCATCTCCATGTGCTGCAGTAGCAAGACAGTGAGCAGAGAGCATAAACAGAACTTTTAGATAGGAAATATGCATATACTATGATTAACGAAAATGCACAGGATGTTCCATTCCTTGGTGATCACCGTTTCACTGCCCTTCCTCTCTTTCCTTCTGCTACAATTCTCACATAACTTCTCTATATAGCTCTGAGCATTTTCCTTTCTTCCTTCCTTTCTCCCTCCCTCCTGCCTTCTTCCTTCCTTCATTTCTCTAATCCCATCCATCTCTTCTGAAAGTTTTTCTCTACAAAATTGTTTTATTCTTCCCCATAGGAAGCTACAGTTTTTTCATCACACAATAATTTAGGTTGGAATGGACTTCAGCAGGTCCAAGTAGGTCTAACTAATTTTAGATGAGGTATCTTAGAGCCTTTCTCGCTCACACCTCTGAAAATCTGACCTGCATTTGCTGTAAGATGGTTAATGCACTGCTCACAAAGCTGGAAGGAATCAAAAAGGAAGAAAAGCAACTTTTAGATGCTTAGAAATAATTATAAGAACAGCCTTCACAGCTAAAAGGTAATAAACAAAACACAAAATGCTCCCTTTTGGTCAACAGATTTATCCCTATCCTAACAAACATATACTTAAGGAATTTGATGCACTAATTTATGCATGTATTACACATAAAAAAATCACAACAATTTCATCAGACTAGAAGAGTGAAAGTAGTTGGAATCCACTTCACAGAATGCAAGCTTCTTGTAGAAATGACACTGATGAGCCTTTGTACCTAAGAATAACTATTTCCAAAGAACACACTGTACCTCCCTACTTATTACAGCCTGGCCACATAACTCCCTCCTTTACCTAGAGTAAAGTTACTCAGAGAGATTATTTGTAACTTTATGAAGCATCAGCTAATCTTCAGCCAAATGCTGGAATGATCTGTAATTGGAGATTCTAAAGTGGATTCAATCCTAGTAGAAAAAAAAAAAGCATTTTCAGGCCACGCATTTTAGTCTAATTAAAAATATGGATGAATCACAAAGTATTTAGAAACATAATTCCCAATCGAGTGCTTAATTTTCCACTAATTTCCAGCATAAAACAAGATTTATTGCAATGATAAGTAAAGGACTTAAACAGAAATTAGACACTTAAATAACGTTATGGACTGAGGCTGGTCAGTAATTTCTACTTTGTTGTTTCACAGAGTGATGAATCAGTAAGCAGTGTAATTATTTTTATTTAACTAACAATTTGTTATCATTTATTATTTCAAATAATAGACTTTGAGCTAGTCTTACTAACCTCCTCGAGCAAAGCTATTGGATAGATTTACATCCAAATGTCCTGGCACTACCTGCTTAAACACAGTAGACATTCTTGAAGCCCTCCTTTCAGTGCCTAAAGTCAGCCAAAAAAAGAATAAGAGATTAAAAAACTACAGTGTTACTCAGACTAACACTTAACATAACTGATAAAAATGCCCTTTTTCACACAATACAGCTTATTCTTGCCAATTTTTTACTTCAGATTTATTTTTTAAGACACGTATACATTGGCAACAGTATGGAGGTGTTAGATACAGCTAAGCGATCAACGTAGCTTACAAAAAATGAAGCAAAGCATGCACACTTTGGGAATGGTGTTATTTCACAAGAAAAGCCACTGTTTGGCTATATTAGGCCAATTACCACCAGCTGAATAAGACAAGACTGACACAATTTCGGGTCATGTACTCCTCTTTCTAAGACATCGGGGTTACCTTCACATAAACCTTACCAGGTTTCATCACAAAATAACTGAAATAAAACATGGATTAATTTCTTCATGGTTCCACATATGCGTAACTCAAATAGTGTATTTTGAAAGAGTTTTCACTGCAAATAAAGCTCTACTTGGAGCTGATGTTAAAAGCACATTATGAGTATGTAACACACATGGAACTGCCTATATACCTTCCATTGCTGCTGTAGCTAAATAGTGCATCTGTTTACATAGAATCTGAGCTTGCAATCTTGTATTTTCTCATTATATGAAATAGAGTAGTATTTTGCATTCTCTTCCATTTGGCAGTCTCTTATTCAATATACCGTTTTCAATATGCTTAATTTGTCATAAAAGACTTGAAAGTGGATCTTTGCTTTTGATTCTGTTATATAATGTATTGTTGCATTTGAGATAGATATATATATATAAAAACCCAAACTGTAAAGATTTGGCATCTTGATATTCTGGAGAACTTTATTTTATTTGTTCCAGAATTGTAATAAATTACTAACACCTCAAGATGGGCCCAGCATACTCAAGTGATTTTCATCAAAAACTATGACCCACAGGTGGATAGTCATTTACTGTCAAGTTAAGAATACTGAATAATATTTTGGGAAATGTTATAAACATCTTTTACATATGGAAAACACATTCACTGAAACTAAGTGTGAGCAAGCTGTCTGGAAAGTGCAACAATAAAGAACAATAGAATTCATATGGGACAAATTAAACTAACAACAAATCAGAGAAAACTCACTTTTCAACTTAACTATAGAAAAGCACTATATAAATCAATTTTACCTGGAGACAGAGCAATTGCTGGTCTAACAGTGAGAGTATTACCGCCGTTCATTTTGCAGTGGACGGATATCACATTCAGTAAGGCTTGTAGGTATTTTTCTTGTTCTATACTGCTCGAAGATTCTAAAGAAGCAGGAGCTAGCGTTACAAGAAGAATGGAATACGTTAAAATACAAGTACATTTATAAATACAAAGAATATCAAAATAAAAAGCTTACTATATAAAGCAGAGCACTGAAAATGTTATGGTTTGTCAATCAAAGGTTCAAAAAGGTCCTTTGGTGACAAAGAATGCTCAGATGTTCATCACCTGGCTGCAGAGGAGCACCCAGCAATGTTCTTTTGCATTCCACTTCACAAAGCTAAACTTCTCACCCCATGGTTACTACTTAAAACATTCATCATCAGCCAGTGATCAATACAAACAGAATGACGATGATGTAGCTTTCCCTTCACTCAGAATGAAAAGCAACATTTCTAAGTTTATGCTACTTGTCAACAAATTTTAGCCTTTTAAAAAAATGTGTAGAGAAGAGATAGAACTGTGTCTTTATCTAAAGTAAGTTAAAGCCATACTCAACCAGCTCTTCCTCATTCCAGTGAAGCAAAGTTACTTACCCATAACTGGAGATATATTGAGATACACTGCCCATTTACTGAAAGTATACATATATCAAAAGATGCCAGTGTTTATGCATTCTGCTGCACTTAGACACATCAATGGATGCAATCTACATGTCATTCACGTACCCTGCCTCCAGAATCTGCCCTTTTTAATGGAATAAAGAAGACAGGAAAGATGGACAGTACATGCACACCTGGATAACACACATCAAGGGATCTCCACTTAGCAAAAGTAACACTCCTGTTCCCTAGTGACAGTCCACCTGCTCCTTCACCAGTAGCTAACTTCAGAAAGTATCTTCCCACATGTGTAGGTAACTTGTAGGAGGGGAGGCTGCATTGTTGTGAAAACCACAATTCCTTCTCTGAAAACCTCTGAATGTGCATGTAGTTTCAGATGACTACGTTACAGATGTCAGAATAATTTTCCAATTGTTACTGATGTTGCTTAAGTTGCTGGAGACCTGGAGAAGAACCATTTCAGAGACAGAGAAGTGGCTGCAAAAGACTGGACAGAAGCACAGCCAGAGAGGAAACAGACACAGTTTAAAAACAGAGGGTGGAGTAAAAAAAAGCAAGATGAGAAGGTATGATGCGCTGAGAAAGCACTGAAGTTAAACAGACAGTCCACTTAAGACAATCTTAAGACTTAAAAAAGTTAAGAAACCAGTAACAAAAAACAGAATCAAGGAAACCTCACCCCCAAAATAAGAAAAATAAAAAAATAAACTTGACCAGAGAAACTCTGCCTATTCGCGTCCAGGTGCAAGGACTTAAAGGAAGGGAAGGAGATGAAAGTCAGGTCCTGGGCCTCGCTGTGATGCCAAAAAAGTGTCCAGTCTCAATAAGTCAGATTTTTTTCAAATGCTGAACAAAATTTTTTGAGTTCTATTTTATTGCAACCACCTCTGGATCACTCACTATAGGACAAAAAAGGTCAAAGCTGCTTAAACCAGGATTTGATATCTTGACCACAAGAGCCAAGCTTTGGAATAAGAGATAGAGAGAGTGAAAGACTTTGAGCGTATTTTGACAAAACACAATGGTAATTTATAAATAGTTTTCTCCAGTGCTGATCCAATCAGATTCTATGCTGGAGACTAATAAGATGGTAACCTAATTAGCTGGAGGTGGCAAAAGAAATTTCAAGACAGACATGTTAAAATTAGTATCTAAATAGCCCTGTTAAAATTAGTGTCTGAATTGAAAGTACAATTAGGAAGTGATTAGAAAATGCACACACAGGAAACATCATGCTGTTTCTGTCTCACAAAGTGGAACAAGCCTGAAGAACAACATTATTTTCTCTTCAACTCTTAAGCAGGGTTTACACATCCTGAAATCCACCTGAATGATCTCTGGGTCCTTGAAGCAATGCCACAAGAAGTCAATTTAGGTCTTAAAAATTCAGTTAAATGAAAGGAAATTAAATGTCTAAATCAAAGGGTAATGTCCTAACCTCTTGCACTTACATTGTTTTATTTCGTGAAGTGTATAGTGTGTGTTTAGTGTGTTAAGAGACTTTGGAGATGAACAGCTTGACTTACGTGAAGAGTCTCCTGTTGAACTGGGCAGATATCTGAATTAAAGATTGAGGGCAATAATGTCATTGTGAAGGATTATAGATGGAAAATTTGCCCTTCATCCTTACCACTGATCATCCCCTCACACAGTGCTTAACAGCAGTATAAAGGGCTGAAAGACTGCTGGTGACTCCTGAACCCCTTACCTGCACAGGTGAACAGGGATTTCTATAAAGTGACTCATCTTTTACATGAAGGCCATCACAACAGCATAGATTTAAACAAAAGGAGGGGATGGAGATACCAGTAGCAGTTTTATAAACTGCAGGAAAGAAATGCATTGCTTAGTAATGCATTGCCTCAGTTGCTAAAATGTACTCTCTGTGTGCCTGGTTGCAGGTTGCTCCATCTTTATCTTACAACAGGTCACAATATAGTCAATAACCCAACTTGTATCAAGATAATTCTCTTGGATGGTGTTACTACATACAAGAAACATAAATGTCCTTTCTACATGGCAGTTGACCAATAGTTGGTAATTCAGGTGTAGAACATCATATTTAGAACTACAATGCTCTGCAAAAAAATTCCCAGAAAGGCCAAAGTGAAATTCAGAAACCAACTTTCATGTTTCAAAGGGACTTTTGAAAAGACCTGTATACAGGCTTTGAAAATTGCTTAACACACAACGTAACAGGAAATCACAAAAATGGTTCATTAAGTTCCAACAGGTTCTCTTTGTTTCTGTGTATCAATCCAGAACCGCCTAATAAAAATCTACTCCTATGAAATCCCTGCTTAGGAAGGTATGCATCTGTTCAACTTGAATTTAACTTAATATTATCTTCCTCCTCTTATTTTGCATCACAATGCATTTTTCAATATAGACATTCTTTCACTGTACACAACTCCTACTGAGGCAAATCCATGCACCTGTATAACTATCTTTATTGACCCGTTTCTTCAAAAGATCTTTTTCACCAAGCTTCAACTTCATTATGAATAAATATCCTATAAATATTTTTCATTTTCCTTGCAGTACCTTCCTGAGTAGAGTCTCCATTTTCTTCTCATTTTAAAAGAAACAGGAACTCCAGAAGCTAATGTCTGACAGATAGTTATTGTCAATCAGATTATCTATTGCCTAATATACTGCTGGAATTATGACAATGACAATATAAAAGACTATATAAAATTAAGAAAAGAAACCACCTACAAAAGCAATGAGATTACACGCAGGAAACATGCTTTAATGGGTCAGGCTTTGAAGATCTTGTCTTGGAAAGCTTTCATACTCCCATGCACATAGAAATTATAGCTACTACGGAAAACATGAAAGCTTTTGTCTTTATATAATTTGCAGACTATTCCTGCAGAATTTTTTTGATTTATTCTGTTTATACCAGCTTAGAGTTGCCTGGCCAGTATTTCAGTTAAGACAATCAGTATTAAACGAGTTTATAAGACTAACATTTGAATTAACATTCTTAGGATTCACGCTATAAACCTGTGGAGCAACTAGTGTAGCTCACAGCTTTGGCAGCTGCTATATTAACTATTGGTAGTACTTCACTGATTTGTTTTATGAATCCTTTCAACCAAAATGCATTATATAAAACTCAACTCATTACATTGCTCCTCACTCCAACTAAAAAATGCCCCCCCAAAACACTGATGAGACACACTGAATCAATGCTGTAGCAGTGAATATTCAGCAGATAATTAGTGATTCACAAATTAGTGTTAATAGTCAGTCCAGACACTGTCTGATGTAAAAAATGTTTTTCTAACAAGATCTCTGAAATTTTGATATGTTAAAGGTGAATTTGATATACACAAAACCCCATATAGCTATTTTTTATATATATATATATACACACATATATATAATGTCTGATATGAACTGTTCTTCACTAGTAATAAAATTGTGGTTTTCATAAAGATATGCTGTGAAGGAAAAATTCAGGACTATGCAGAACATATTTAAATCATGTAATCTTCAAACTACTTTTATGCGACTTGCATATATTCGTACAGTATGCTTGTTACAGGTTTTGAAAAATTCCATAGAAGAAACTATTCAGTAGAGTCAAACCCTTTAATTGTGTTTTAGTCGTTACTGGGGTGGAACACAGTCATAAACAGGATTGATGGATTTCTTTGCTACCATAATGAGTTCCTGGTATTCCAATTCTATGTCACATTTTCTTTTTCTCAAAAAAGAAAAAATATGGCCTAATTCTAGAATTATTTCTAAACAACTATCAGTTGATTAAAGAGAATAATGACTTTTTCTTCAATGATATACCAAATTCACTCTCATCATGAAATTAACTTCGAAGAAACTATCAGCATAAGAGATGGAAATCCAGGCAGTCACAGTAAGTATCCTAAACACTGCCTGTGAATGACAGAAGCCAACTAATGTTTTTTCCAAAACTAACATTGCCCTAATATGTTATAGTCTTCTGGGAAATTAACTATTCTGACAAATCTTGTGCTGATCCCATCTTGATCACACAAAGGAAGAGATTTACCTAATGCAAAGACCCCCACTACAATTTTTCAGGTCTATGCTTTATAAAAGAAAGGTAAAAGTTAAACTAATATTACAATGAAAAACATGAGAGAATCCAATGGATAATATAATCTCTAATATTTTACATAATTCTCTATTGAAAAGGACAACATACCCTCATTACATAAACCAGTGCAAAGGAAAAAGATAATTTAATGGAAACAGGCGAAGTGTGCATTGCATTTGGCAGATGCCAGCTTTTACGAAAGACTCTTGATATGTATAGAATCTCCTTTCAAATTATTCATTGACATTTTTTGAACCACTTTCATACCATTCAGGATCTGCTTCTTAACATACAGTAATTAAATGGAACTAATATAATATCAGATAACTATTCATACCCTTAGACTTTTGATTCAATTGTATCACTGATTTCCTCTAGAAAAATAAGTACTTCTATAAAAAATTATTTGTACAGAAAGCCTAGCTGCATCAACTCACCTGTAGTATGTGTGTTTTGGGATTTGAAGAGGCCAACAACACCTTTTCCATGAAAGCCTCCAGATCTAAGTAGAAGAGTACCGTTTTTAGTGTTCTTCCAACAGACAACTGGTAGGCGATTGTGACGGTAACAGCGAGCAACTCGCTGCAGACTGCTGTCTTGAACAGACTGAGGTACTACCAGAAGCCCAGGATAACTGTGTTGACAAAAAGGTGAAAAAAATTGAACAGCAATTAAAATAGCTTTAAAAATTTTAAACAATGAAAAAAAATTCCTAAAATTACAAGTTGAATATACATCTTAATGAAAATATACCTTGTTAGAATTATTTTTTATTTAGTAACTCTCGATTTTCATTATCATGGCAATTTCATTATCAGTAATGAAAGCAAAGACTAGTCAAAATTGGCTTTAGAGAATTCAAGTGCTATTCTGATATGACTCATGCAGATACGTATTAAAAAAGCATTTTTGGGGGTAGTGGTAGCAAACTACATCAGCTTTCACAATAGAAATAAGTTAGTAACATTCATGTGTTAAAACACAGCACGTGACGTTAAGCACATGAAAAACTTTTGAAGTACTGCAGATGCCTTAATTAATTCAATTTTAAAACATATTTTTATTAGAAGAAAATAGTTATGCATAATTGTTTCTGAGGCTTGCCTTTGTATTTGGGAACAGAATAGACTTTATATGCAAATATATGACAAATAATTTCCAGTAGCAACACAGTAAGTTACAGAAACCATAGTGAGAGAGTGAGTTCTACCAGGTAACTTTATTGGCTAAGTCAGAAAGCTGAAAAATAGCCTAATGATTTAGACATTAATGTAGAAAGTCAAGAGAGAGAAACTCCTTCAAAAGGCAACTCAGAGTATGTAGGTTAGTTTCTTCCAAAAGCCCCAGGGCCACTCTCCTTCCATGGGCTATAGAAAGAACCTAGGAAGGAAGACTTGTGTTGTCTGACGGAGTTTCTGGGACAGTCCTGAAAGCTCCTTTCTGGCTACCATTCCTGGCCCTCTTTCCAAATGAGATGAATACATATGTAGCCACCAGAAGACAAATCTCTGAGTGGAAGACAAATAGCTTCAAGGTCACTGGTTGAACACTCCTACTGTAGACAAAAGTTTTCTCAGAATAAGTTACTTAAATGGATACATCACGTGGTGCATGTGTCATGTCATTTTTTTTCCAACTACTTGACTGAATTGGTAAACTCACCTCCTGCAAAGTGAATACATCCTGTTCAGTGCAGTTATTCTCAAGTATTCTGTTTTTGAGCGAGAAGAGTTACTACTGATGGTCCCTAGTCCCAAACGCTGATAGTCTCTGAAACAGGCTCTTTCTACTAATTGCTCCATTGTTGATTTTTCTGATGCTTTTAGGGTACCGCTTGTGTGCAGCTCACTGTCATCTGAAACTAAAGTTAAAAACCGTTAAGAGTTTGTTACTGGGGAGGCCAGCAGTTACACAGAAAACAATGCTGTTTTCTTCGATAATATTCTTCAACAAAATATTAGTTTGTCTTACTGTTAGTGATGAATGACAAGAACCAATATCTACAAACCACAGTTTCTAGAAATTATAAGCAATAAAATAGTTTAGTCAGGAAACCTGAATATACCACACAGTTACCTACTGCCTTTTTGACTGGCATGGCTGACAACTCTTGTGCTAAAATCCTGGAAAAAGTTATCTCATCTCTTAATTTGAACCGAACCAAAGGCAGATAATCTTTCCACAATTTATGAAAACCTCTTAAACCCGCAACTGCTACACAAAGATGTACACAAGACAGAACAATGACAAATGGGCACATAAATTCATTAAACATCCAAGATAAAGTAGAACTTGTAATTCTTTTAAACTATCTTCAAAAGATGTAACAATCTTTTTAAGGCTTGGTTCAAATAAAAAAAAAAAGTTTGTGTCATAATTTCACAACAGATGACTGTTGGTTTCTTAATGTCTCAGTTTCAATGTCAAACAACAGCTCTCTTCAGCTGTGTACGTCAACTGCGCTTTCCAAAGCAGAAAAACCTTTAGCTATGAGAGATAAAAACCATGTCACAAGTTCAAACTACACTGAAATTCAAGTCAAGCAAGGTCTTTGTACAAAACCTGCCACCTGCCTGTTACTGACACTTCCAACTATTTCCAAATACTTCTGAAAGAAGATTTACTGTTCACAGCATGTATCAGTTACTTGCTACCACCTCAAGCATTGATATATGTGCATATGAGGGGAAGTATTTCTTCATGAATGACACACTGAAAAGTATAGAAGGATTTAAATTTAAAACAGGACTTTATAAAACTGGAAATTAAAATTATTTTACAAAATAAAAATTATGATACAATTAAAATTTTACTGGCAGTAGACAACATTCAGAATTTACAGGAATAGAACTCATATACTTCTTTTTTTGTGCATCTTAACATAAAAGCTAAATGAATGATTTTATTGCCCCTGCAGCTCATCAAACAAAACCAACAATTCTCTATTTGACCTAAATAAAAAATATCTCCTCTTTTTTCAGTGTTTTCATATTTATTATGGTAAGAAAGAAGTTACAAAACATTTACAAGTATGAAGTGCACTAATGAGAAACAAATTAAAGGAGTTTTAGAAATAATTTTATTTGGGGTCATATAGAAACTTTTATTTACATATACAGAAACTCTATTTAACAGTTTTGAATGCAAAGCTATAATTGACTCAGATAAGATAAGGGAGAATTTTTTGAAACATTTTTTTCTAAATGCATTTTTCCCTCATGAAATCAGGTATATTGGTGATCAGAATTTGCAAAAACTTTTCCTGTGCATAAAAAGCAAGAGATTGTAAGATCTCACATCAATGTTCTTAACCTGAAGAGGGAGATGAAATTGTTTTGCTGTCTCAAGTTTATTTTTTTTTTAAAATTGATTTTGAAAAGAGGAGGAATATTCCCTTTATTTTACTCTTCCTGACATATGACTGTTTGTAAAAGTGAGTTTTGCAGTCTCCTGTTTTATGGAACACACCAGTATGATCACCTATGAGAAACAGAATTTAGTAGTGATGAGATTCTAAACTCTGAAAATAAAAACATGGGGAAGAACTGGAGGGAAATTAGGTGTTCATTAGCAACAACTAATAACTAGAGTACTGTGCACAGCTTTGGAAATCACATTGCAAGTTATATGTGGACCAGCTAAAGAGGACCAAGAAAAGAGCAAGTAAGATGATCAGAAGTCTATCAAGACTAATAAACGAAGAATTGAAAGAACTGCAGCTATTTAATATAGAGGGAAAAAAAAAACAGAGAAGATAAATATTACAACAGTCCATAAATACATTAAGCACTGCGATAAGAATGAAGGGAATCAGCTCTCCTGTATATATATAGTGGTAGAATAAGAAGTGAAGGCTTTAAATTGTGGCAAGGAAATGTTTAGGCCTGAATACCAAAAAGCTGCTTGTTTTTCTCCAGCATTAAGGATGGTTAAAGCATTAATACAAATTGCCTAGCATTGTGGAACCTTCATCTTTGAAAGCATCTAAGAAAAAGTTAGGTAAACACCTATGAGGAACAGATTAAGTATGCTGATCTTGCCTTGGGGCAGAGAGATGGACTAGATGACCTTTTGAAGTTCCTTCCAACCCTATTTTTAACATTTCTTTTTTAAGACAACGCATCATCTGCTGCTAATAGTTCCTGTTTGCTTGACTGTTGGTATAGCTGCATAGTTTCCTATACTTCAGTTTTGGAGACTTGCAAACAAAAAGTCCTTTGCAGCAGTCAATATGAAAGAAATTGCAGTGACTGAACAGCAAATTTTCTATGGCTATTTGCACTCTGCCTGAAGCAAAGAGTTACTACTGTTGTCAGCTGGCTATACCTGAGCTGTCAGTGTAATGTGGAGAGAAAAGCCAACTGTGAGACTTGATCACCTTACACATTCCCAGTCAAAACATGCGGAAAGCAGCAGGTAGGAAGTCTCACAATTTATATTTTTATATTTTTGTTAGGGGAGGAAAGAAGTGACCATCACTAATGTTTATATAACACCTGTGTTCATTGAAGAATGCAGTAGTTTTGTACACCAGCAATGCAAAAACTCTTAAAATTTCTTCACCACCAGGAAAAGTACAAATACACGGGTATAACTGCGCTTGGTGTCTCCGGGTGAAGGACACAAAATCACCCAAAAATCATGCAGGCACAGCTGGCAGAATTGCTTCTGATCCAAAGAACCTGCAACATCAGAACTCATACTAACTCAGCACTTAAGGAACATGCTGGAAATTCTATTAAGATTGTATTTTTTCAGCACTGTAAAGACATTCCATATTTTGTAAACCTTTCTTTTTGCATTTTTCCTACCACTTTTATCTGGAATGAAAGACGAGAATCAGTATTTTTTAGCATTCCTGGAATGGCTTTCTTCCATTTCGGAGAGAACAGAAACAGTGCAGTAACACAGTCCTGCTTCAGAAAACTTTTATATATCTGCTCCTAAGTCATGTAAGTTGCCTTGCTCATTGACTAAATATTCAAAAGGAAAATTTGGCTTGTTTGAGATTTTGAAGAAATTATTAGTGTTGGATAAACACTTTGTTATCAGAACAATCAGATAAACACTTTGTTATCTTTTTTTTAAAAAGAAAGAATGGTATGACAAAACAATACCTGTTTATGTACAGGAGAATCTGGTTCCCTCTAGTGGTTTATTATAAATTAGCACTGGTCCAGATAAGGATATACTGAGAGCAGCACATGGTAGGAAAAGAAGTATTTGGAAGAAAGTCAAACTCCATACCATCACAGGAACTACACAAAGTGCCCAAATCACTTTCTACCTTCTGTCCCCAAATACTTTCAACTAGAATTTGGAAAAACGATATTTTCAGTAATAATGACTTCTGCTGCTTTCAGAAATCATTTCTCACTTCTGCATCCACAAGAGTCTCCCACACTATTTGCTCCTTCTTGAATCTCACCAATTACTGCTTTCTCATCACAGACTAATTGCAGATGTCATGATATCTAGAGATGAATGGAGGCTACAGCATGCTTCTGTGCTGTTCCATCTACACTATTATGATGTAAAAATGATAAAAAAGATACAATATGCAAATAGTTTGATAATTAAAAAATGATAATCTGGTATTTTGCTTTATCACTGAAGGAAACCAACTTCCTCTTTTGCCTCGTCATCACAAAAGAAAACACTAAATGTATATATTTGAAACCTTTCTCTTTCCTGTCTAGGAGGACTCTGCAATTTCTTCTTGAAGATATTCCTTATTCAATATAATGGAATGGAAGCAAAACAGGATAGACTCATCAACATGGAAAAAGAATGTTTTACTATTACCAGAGATATCATCGTCTTCATTCCAGCCTGCGCGATTCCCTCTTTCTTCCACTATTGTGCCTGTCTTCTTCTTTAATAAGTATTGGCGTCCAATTGTCATCTTCCCAGCACGTTTTGCTCCTTTCACAATGCTTTTTGAGAAGGTACTATAAATTCATAGCAATAAAAATATTTAGAAAGATGAATATGATTCTCCCTGATAGCATGTACAGATTTTTATGATGGACCCACTTACCCAAATAAAAGGTACTTATAATTTTTAACTTAATATAATGACAACAATTATAGCCTCCAGAAAAGTGACTTCCTGTATGTCCTGGTTAAACCACAACACTATATTAATTTTTAAACACCAATTTTATTATTTTGAGATAAATGTCTATTACAGCTAATGGTAACGAATAACAAGCTATCATCTTTCTTTCAGTATTTTTACTTTGCTAGCAATGTGATAAACCTACAAAGCTGACAAAGTAAAGGCAGGAAAGATAGAAATTACCTTAAAGTTTTAGGATTCCATGACTAGCTTGGGATTCTAGTTTCCTGTGTCAACAATGCAATAATCAACAGAGTATCACAGGAACTACCACTCTGGAACAGACTAATGATCCATCTAGTCTAGTAAAAATTAATGTATATCATAAACTTCAAAAGAGGACCCAAAGCTCAAACTCTAGATTAAAAAACACTAGGACAACTCTACAGACTGTACTAAGGGTAAAATGAATTCTAAGCCACATTAGGTTATTAATCTATAAAGTAATAAACAAGAAACCTGGTTTTTATGTTGGCATAGTTTGCATAGCTGAAGATACTACTTACATTGTGTGTTTCAAAATGTAACAAGATGCTTCTGCAAATCTACCGCAGCCAGAAATTTGGATAAATAATATATTCCTATACCAAACTGACATGTATATCATACTAATCTACCTTTTAGTCAGTAAATATAAAAAGATGCAGAGCAGCAATCAGTTACTTTGACTTTCCTGAAAACTTCTTGAATGATCTGCATTTCTGCAAAGCTGTCAGATTGTTCAACATATTTGACTAAAACTAAATAAAAACATCAGTAATAAAAGAAGAAGAATGACTATACCGGAACGATGTGTTCTTTTCTTTTTGTTTTGGTAAAATTATCTGTGGTGCTGTTTGCCCAGCTGCAAATGCAAAAGTGCTGAAGATAGATTGAGGATAACGGAACTTCATTAACTGTTTCTTAAATATTTCCACCACTTCAGGACTTACTTCTTCATCAAATGCTACTTTAATTAACTGCATATTAAAGACATGACATGTTAGAAATTAAAAAAAGTATAAAATTAAAGAAGTTAAAAAATACCAAAATATATTAGCAAAATTTCCATAATTATGCAGTACTACACACATTGGAAAATATAAATATACGTATGTATATCTTACTGATTTTGAGGGATATTACAAGGCTTATTAATTTTTTATTTATTTTTTACATTTATGTCCTAATACTAAAGTATTTTTGCTAAGAAGCACCTGGAATTCTCATAGTATCAAACACAAAATACTTTGGTAAATCCAAGTAGTAGTGCTGGCATTAAGATTTCTACAACAGTTCAAATGCTAGTCACACGGGACAGCTAGCTTGGAAATATTCTGCCAGCTCTGCCCATGTACCGGTATCTAAGGTTGGTAATGCACTTCAAAGACTCTCATCAAACCAACAATTTCAGCATTCATACGTCACGGACATTACACTTCCATTACTTAGTCATTCTAATTTTTGCCTCACCTTGCAAAGTATAGAAAACTCCTAATAAAAAAAAAGTAATAGTGAAGTCTGATCCTTAAAAAGGAACTGACCTTGTGCTATTCAACACTGATCCATCCACACCACTAAAAATGCTTTTTGAAGGGTTTTGTGAGGGAAAACAAAAAAAAAAAATTAAATCACACCCCATCATTCTCAGCAAAAATGATAACAGTCCGGAATTCAGGAGGAAAAAAACAAGACAAAAAAGAAGAGAGCAAAAATAGGGAATCCAAGGGCCCAAAAGAACTTTAAGAATGTGCAAAAGCAAACAAAGATATATCCTAGAGCTTTATCTCTGAGTGCATACCTATATACCTTTTGAATGTCTTTTGTTTGCCATCTAGAAGGTGGATTCCATCATTGCTTTTTTAATTTCACTTGTTTTGTAAATACTTTCCAAATGACTAATAACTCTGTTGTTCTAGGACCTCCTTGAAAGAAGCTCTTGAATCTTTAGGGGTTACAGTGATTTGAGGTTTTAAAGACATTAAATAGCATAACTGCAGCCAAAAATTTCTGAAAGTCATAATTAATAAACAAAGAGGAGGGGCTATTTCATACTGTATTGAACTCTGGCTGTTATAAAGGGAACAGAAAGTAAACTGTTTGCTGATTGTTTTTGTTCTCATAACCTAACACAAAACTATGCTAAACAAAAGCAAAGATGATGTTTGACCAGAATCCAGCACTAAAAACACTGAGATGTGCCTGTATTTAGCGCATCGTTGAAGCATGCTAACTATTCTGGTAAAAAGATTTCTGTAAAATAAAAGTCCTCGTGAAGTCACCTCAAAAGTCCACAAGAACAACTTTATTTCAGTTGTCTTACTCACTTGTATTCCTGATCTTATGCTTTTGAACAGGATATTGAAAGACTATTAGCTAAATAATGCCCACTATTGTAAGAAACTAGTAAAATGCTGATGATCTATTTTATGTTTTCAAATGTTAGAGTTATTGTTCTCAATGAAAATATACTTCTGCAGTCAGCCAACCCGACAAAATATTTCATATCTTAAGTACTGCAGTCTACTTGCCGTCCACGATACAAAATTCTTTGCCTTCAACTTTCCATCTCTTAGGGTTTGACCACAGTTAAGATCACCACCAAGAAGCAGCATTTAGGGAAGACTTCAGAGGCTTCATGATTCCTAATTCTTAGAAGTCCATCTCTCAGTTGCCCTGCAGTACATGCTTCTGCTGAACACACTGAGGGGGATCCTACAGACAGGAAAACTGCCAGGATCTGTGCAAGTCATAGGGAGGCTCATTGGTTCCGGTCAATGGTGGCTACCCTCAAGATTCCTGGAAGTACAGCTTCCATGTGAGACGTACTGTGACTTTCTGCCATAGATTTTTACAGAAAGCTGGTAAAGTGACAAGTCTTGAGAAGAAAGTACTATTTATAGCTTTTCCATATTCATTCCATGTAGCTGGAGTAGAGAGAAAACATGTTTCCCCTGGCCTGTCTAGGCCTCTACTTACTCACATTAAGTGATTTTGGACCCAAACCAGCCCTTTACTGATTCCAAAATAGAAAGGTGAGGAAAGGAGTGGAAGAAATCAAATATGAACCTCTGTAAATATCAACTGGGCCAAGAAACGCCAGGGTTTCTACAAGAGGACTGCATTCTCTATTGACTTTACAGGACAGAAACCGGAACTTTCCACAAATACCAGGACAAAGTGCTGCTCATAAGTATTTTGAGCTGACAGGGTTGTCACATAAATTTTTACAAAACCTCCTTTTACCTGAAAGGTAGCTGAAGTGATCTGCAGTCCTTCCTGCATACTCTGCTGCAGCTGGTTCTGTATAGTAATCTTCTTCTCCTTCGTAACAGATGCAATAGGAAAGCTCCGGATCACCGTCTGCTCTCCAACTGAGGACCGTAAAATTGTATTTACAGATACTTGTTAGATCAAAGAATCAGATCTGGTTTGGTCACATCGTACTTTGAATAGACAGGAATGAGTAAGCACAAAGCAACACAAAAACAATAGTACAGAATTATTTCCGGCAAAATACCTGGGAAGTTGGTAAATGCCTAAAGTATTATTTGTAATCTGAATTTCTGCCTAATTTCAGCTGGGATGATTAGAAAAATAATCTTCTTCCTTCTAAGTCTTTCTACATGATGGAAATGCACCCCCAAAATCTAGGTTGGTAGGCAGTGAAAAAACAGTTTCAAGCCTATTCAAATTTCATATTGCATTATAAATCTTACAAACAACAAACGATATACGATGTTATCTTTACATATGACCATGAACTTTCCACAATAAATTTATACTTCTGGATGACAATCCAGAAATGGCAGATGTCAAAATATGAAAATGCATCATTCAGAAGAGCTATTTCCATTCCATATTAAAAAGAACACCAAATTTATTAATAATCATTTTAGGGAAGATACTAATTCATAAACATTTTTCATTTAACACACTTCCAGTAGCTAAAATAATTGTTTTATGAAAAGCTAGAGGTAGTGGAAGCTGCAGATCTCACACAGATACATGTTCTCTCTTACTGGTGAACATTTACCAATGTTGCTCTGTAAAGCAGCATTATTAGACCAACTTTACAGATGGAACTGAGATATAAAGATACTAAGCATTTTTTCCATACAAAACAGAAAGTCTATGGAAATTACTGAAGTATGGTCAGGAACGTCCTCATTTTCTGTCTCCAAATTAAGGTAGTCCGTTAAAGCCCATAATACCATGTCCCCTAATACCATGACAGTCTACTGAAGCTTCCTCTAAGACGAGTACATATTATGATTTTTATATTACATAAATGACTGAAGACAGCACTCTAAATATCTACCAGTATGGAGGAATAAACAAACATTTGACACCTAATGCCTCACCTGAAGAAATCAGTTCTACTTAAGTTAAATGCAAAATCAAAATCATTGTCATATCTAGTGATAAAAACCTATATTAAGAGATTATTCTTATCTGATCAACATGAAAAATGATACTGTGAGGTATATCCATTTTGATGTTGATGCTTGAATAGGTGGATAGGCCAGCTCAAAGTCCTGCCTATACAAGGACCACAATTATCATTGTTTCATTTATCTTACCCAGCTGATCATGAGGAGTGCCTTTAAATACAATTCTGTAAGTGGTAAGGAACAAAGCTCCTTCAGCAGGGAGGATGTGAGGACCTCCAAGCAGTCCTCCTGTAGCTTCCTCTCTGCCATCAGGATCCAGTAGCACACGGAGACCTTCACAAACAAATTCTTCTCCTGGCAGTAAAGTTGGTCGTAGAATTTTAGGCTGATGCAAATAAATGAAAGTGTAAGTGTAATGGCAATACCAGTGTTATACCTCAGTCTAGTTATAATATTTGGCTTAAAAACCTTCAAAACAAAATTGTTATGAGACTGAATCCAAAGAAGGGAGACTGAGTTTGGACACAACTAAGAGAGATGTGTCTCAAAAAACAGTGGGCATGCAACAGCTTGTTTATGATCAGAAGTTTGGCTCTACTAGTTTCATAAGTTCATGTTTCATGAGACCAAAGCCAAGCACTTTATTTATCACTGGTGGAAATTTTCTTTTAATGTTTTGATGTTTCCTCCCAACATTATGAGGGGGGAAAAAAAGATGACTAAATTGCATGATTCTAATACTTGTAAAGAATACAAATATGTTTCATAATACTTGCCTTCTGTATTGGTGGAAGCCGCCTACTCTCACGGTGGACAGCCTCCAGTGTCTCTATGTGCATTGCGACAATGCCTGGAAAGCAGTATTACCATAAATGAAGTCTCACATAGTACGAAAGAGAAATTCACAATCTAATTAAAACTCTGATATTCTGAAATTCTCAAATTTAAGCATCAAGGGAATAATTCTTTGAAATTCAACAGCAATTACAGTCTAGAAAAGAAATCTAACCTCCTAACTCCACTGAAAGTAACTGAAACTAAAAAGTACATTTATCTCACTAGGAAAAAAAAGAAAAAAGGAAGACTACAAACCACTTTTTTGTCATCATTCTTACCTGGTATCATGCAATGAAGACTCTTGATGTGATCTTGTGTAACTCCGCTCTCTGTGCAAACCTTGTCAATAAATCTGGTGATGAAGCGTACAACTGCGTTTGCAACATCATTGTTCTCAGAATCCTCAAATCCACTTTCAGTGTCATAACTCTCTGCAACACTGCCTGCAATGCTATGGGCATAAATAAAAGAAATTTCAAGTGTGAAAAATTCAGGTGGTGATGCACATATGATACCTGGCTACAGACAGACAAGCTGTGGTTTTTCTCCTAGTTACAATACATAAACCTTGCTAAAAGCATATGCTACTACCACAGATAGACCCTATTTTCGCTGTCATGAACACTGTCAGAACTGCATGGAGAACTTGTCCTTCATGATTCCAGCACAGACAGGCTCACAAGAGAAAAAAAGGTGCTTGGAAGTGAGCTCTTTGTCGTCTCTTCATAGAGTCAAGTACATTATTTGCAACCAATGGTAAACAAATATCCAATTACATGCAGAAAGATACATCAAATGAATATTTTAGTTGCAGAGCAAAGCATTCAAAAGCTAAAAAGACCGTAAGAAAAGGTTTTTGTGCATCAGATGGAAAATGCAAACAAGTCAGTGGGAGACGTACTTTGAAATCTAAAATGCCTCCCATGATAATATTAAGGACCAGATTCATACATTGCAACATATACTGCAAACTGTCTACCAAGCATGTCTTAATGCCTGAGTCTAGAGGTGTTTAGTCAGCAGAAATGAGTGGCCATGGGGAGTTTGATACCGATAGCCTGCCTATCTTTTACTGGATGCCAATGTTCTCACATAGCGTTCTACAATTTTATCAGGTAGGAATTCTCTTGGATCATGGGTGATAATGAAGACAACAAATAGAAAAGGAGGAAGACTTGTTATGAAATGTCCTGGATTTGCATGCTAGGGAATGTAACTGGTGTTATACTCCTCCTGCCTCCTTAGTAGTTTAACCTTTCCCACAGTCTAACCTTTTAGCCCTCTCGTTTTTTGTGACCTCAGCACCTTTCTTCCTTGCAGCTGTTGCACAGAAATTGTGATTTTATGGATGCTATACAAATGCTTTCCTGACTTGAGGTTCATACACTGTTTTTTTCAAGTTACATAAAAACTAAGAGTAGTTTTTGAGCTGCTGTTTTCTTTCTCATCATTCCCTATGTGTGTCTTCAACATTTGCATTACTATGTTAAAAATTCTTACTGCAATAATAAAATTTTTATGTTCCTTCAAATGGTGGTAAATTACAGATTAAGTTCTGTTATTTAAGAGGAATCATGTTAGACATCTGCTCTCCTTAATTAATGAACTTGAAAAGACGAGAAGGTACTGAAATAAGCTTTTGAAAACTGTGGCCGGTCCTGACTGATTACCACTGAGCTTGCGTACCCACCTGTTCGTGACAATGCTGTTGCTTCCGCTCTCCCAGTCACCGGTAGCTGATGTTCTCAATAACTTGTTCTTACTTGTATCCAGTGGTACTAGCAGGTAAACCATGAGGTTAGCAAAATGAATTGCCTGGCTGAAAACTGTACTTTCCTCATTCTGGACTAGCTCCTGCTGTGTTTGTTTATTAAGAGTTGGCCATAATCGCAACTGCTCAGCAGCCAGGTCCATTGCTGTCTTATCCTGGTCTGGAACTGCAGAATTTTTCTCCTAGAAGACATACAGAAAGACGTAGAAGAAATAATAAAGCTATAACTTAAAAAACAATGTTTAGTCAAAACTTATTAAATTTACTTGTTTAGGTCTTTAAATTATATATTAATTTAAAAAGAAAAAGCAAATTACCACACTCAATAGGGTTTAAGGAAAATTATGATTATAGTAACTGAGCTTTGAAGGCAGCTTACTGAAATATGCACATAGCACAATGTAGACAGACCTAAATAACATTATTTCTTTCTAGACCTTTTTTATGCTATGCCATCTTCCATGTTTCTTTAGAGTGGTTTACTGATTTTAACATAGCTGCTCTCCTTTGCTTATCCACTTAACTCACATAAGAACAAGCATAAATCAGATTGAGAAATAACATGCATTGCGTGATGCAGGTGATACTCTCTAAATTCCTAGGATGTTCAGGTGAGGCAAGCTTTTATATACATAGTTTCCAGACCAGCCGAAACATTCATGTTTTCACATGTCAGAGCTTGACCCAAAGTAGGTAGATGGCACACAGTCAAATTATATTATAGCCTGAGGAAGTTAAAGGTATCTGGCAGCCGATATTAGTGACCTAATGCCTGATGTTAAATTATGAAAGGACTAGGAACCTTGTAAATGTTTTTTCCACACTAAGTTAAAGTGGAACTAATATTTCTTATAAACACCGGTGAGGGTTAAAGTAGATGCTTCCTTGTAAGTTCTACTATTCACGTTTTTCTTTACGTAGTGTCCGGTTGGAAGGGACTCCCCATACACAGTCCCACAGTCCTTTTCTCTTTATCCCTGATACGTCTGACATGCCTTTTCAGTTCTTCATTCTGACTCTGTCCATTTTACTTCCTCTCTTTACAATGCTGTACGACTTTCGATAGCATATACTTTTCAGTCTCATAGCTGATAACGATATTTTCATACAAGAAGAGAGATTACAAATGTCTCTCTACTATGTGTATGTGTTCCTTAAAAAATAATAATCTTATTTTAGCATGCTATAAGGCTTCCCATTATATGTCACTGTTGCATTAGAGATGTACCTTCCTCCTGCTGACACAGACATTTTGTGTTCTGGAAGATCGTTCCATTTTAATAAAGCAGGTTGAGTGCCATTCAACAGAAGCCACCCTAGGGTTTGGTAACAATCTAACACCGGACACTAGAACTGCTGCTAGCTTAGGTTGTTCATATAATAGAAATGTCACTAGTTTGTAACATTGCTATATGGTAAGATACTACTCTCAAGAAAAACATATACCTTAAAGTGTGGAATATTATACAAAAAGCGGTTGTTTGAGCAACATCAAATTATAATGCTTTGCAGAGAAATGTAAATTCTTCTTTTTTTTCATGTTAGTCTATGCTGTTTAATATGGGAAAAATGAAAGAAAAATACATAAAATTGGAGAAACCATAACTTAGCTCTCTATAACTTAGGAGACAACTAAAATGTGAATAAAAATACTACCTTAATATTTACTTTTATATATCCTCCTACCTTTTGTCTCAACTGTACTGCATGGCTGTCATCTTTGGCTGTAAGGTAGAGGGAGCGAACTTGATTTTGCACATTGCTATAAAAGGTTGTTTCCCAAAACTGTTGGTTAGTCCAGATAGGATGGTCTTGTACACAGGTGTAAGCAAACTGACTAACTCCAGGTGCTAATTTCTGAAAGAAAAAATAACCATGCAAAATTGACAAATTAGTCCTATTATTTAATTTCATTTAAAGGCTATCGGTAGAGTACTGAAAAATATATACATATAAAAAATCAGTTGTACAGACTGAAATATGCAATATATACCATCTTTTGCACTGCAATATAGGAAAGAGAAATTATCCCCAGTTTTGTGCCATTACAGAAATTAACATACAGGAAACTTGTGTACAAGTCTAATGCCAGTGCAAAGCACGGCTTTCTTGATTCACAGTAGAAAAATGAGACTTGAGAGGAAGAATTCTGTGATGATAGTACAGAACACATTTCTAATATAAAAAATTTCCTTGCCAACAAAATATAGTATTTTTAATAACCTAATCCTACAACACAGAAATCAGTATTCAAACAGATGAAAATTGTATCTCATTTTATTAAAAAGTCAGAAGTAATGAAATTTAATATAATTTGTACGTGGCAACTGAGTCCTTCCAATAAGCTGCATTTGTTGCAACAGCAGAAGATTAGATATATTGTTCCCTTCCTTGTTATCTACCACACTGTATGACTCAAATCCAGCTCCCAAAAGAGGACTAAATGGGGATGTTCTTTGAAGTCACAAGGGTCTGGATCCCTATAAGGTCTCATACAAAACCAGAATTGTTACAGCATTACTCATTACGAATGCACCATTTTTTTCAAGTAGGTCTATTTATTTAAGTGGCACTAGTCTCCCAGTGAGTTGTTTAATACTCTTGATAACCACATACAATGAAAGGAAATTTATTTCAGTGACCCAAATCATGAAGAATGAGATCTTGTATCATACATTCTTATTTTTTTGAAAAAAGGCCGCAGAAAAATGTGTGTTATATACTGCATATAGGAACGAAGCAGGTAATCTAACTACCTGCTTATGATTATTTCTGCAGTAGAACTGAAGATTAAAGTACATTATGGGGTGCCTCATTTAATGACTTTCACTCAGAATACTACCCATACCTGAAATATACACTATATATACTAGTAAAATTTTACTTTAATGATTATGTTGTAAACTACTTTCCTGTAGAGCATAAATACTACTTGATTTACTATTTATAATTGTACAATTGTACACAACAGCCAATAAATATAATACTTCCTTAGTAGGTACCCAGGCATTCAAGTGGAAGGCTAGAAAGCTACAACTGAAAATTTTCAAGTCTGGTTTACAGATTTCTGGTTTTGCAATTCTTCAAACCATGTTTTCCACACTACG